GTCATTCCTACAATCATTCATATCATAGGCCTACCTAGCCTTATTTTCTTTGATTGGTTAAGAAGCAAATAACTTATATACACCTATATATATTAGTAGGCCAATATAAGTTAAGCCATTTATTATTATTAAATAAAGTGACGAGAAAAATAGGTCCTTAATAAGAATGTTCTCTAATTAGTAATAAATAATAATAATAATATAATAATAAATCTTTATTCCTCCACAAGTAATACAATAAAATTACAACGATCTAAGAAACAAATTATTTATAACTTACAATATATTCAAAACTTATTGTTAATTAATTAAAGAAAACCAGTTTGCTTTAACTTGCGAAGAAATGTACACACCCAGAAAGAAGATTAAAACTTCTGTGTGTGGGCAGGAGTCTCAATTAATACTTAACAACAAAATGTCTCTGAAAAGGGTAACAAAATGAATTATAAATTAAATTTACCTTTTAAAATTAAATTTGCACTCACCTTTAGTGGTCAAACCATTTCCATCCATCAGAAGTACCCAAGGAATTGCCGTATTAGTATCCAGGTTTATTTCATAAATTAATCCAGTACGATCATCAAATGAAATTAGCTTTCCATTAAAAACTAGTAGCTCTGATAATTCCATTCCTCTTCCACTGTGTCCAAAGGTTGACTTTAAAGTGACATGGTCTGTCCTATCCCAAATGATATCGACAAAATGAGTATTGGGATTCCAAATCAAATATCCTGTTTTTAAGTAACTTTCCCAAGTGTTTGATTCATCTTTGCTATTGGAATTTGTATCTAAATCGCTAATAATACCGATTCGATATTTCAGACCACTAGGCATGCTGACTGGAGGTGTTAAGGGGTATGTTGCATTGTAATATTCATCGCCTACTGCTAGATGTGTGATTTTCTCATATCTTTCTAATGGTGGGGCAATGTAACGTTGTCTATAAAGGTCACTATATGATACAAACTTTGGGGACCTTCTGGATGTTGTATACAATATAAACAAAATAATTAAACCTAATAAAGCTATGACAGTAACAAAGGTAGTTTGTATCCTTAATGTACTATTCCCAACCCTGTAAGTTGGGGGTGTCCGTAAAGCTTGCCTCCAGTCTCTTAATGACTTCATTTCCACGTCCAAATCACTGTATTTAACAGAAGGCATGTGTTTCTAGAAATTTAATTAGAGCTTGTTTGATATACCTAAACAATTCTTTTGACGTTTCATGTTGAATCATAGCAAGAGTGTTGTTTTTGTTAATGTAGCTAACCAAACATAACCTCACAAAAGAGATTCTATTAGATTGGATTTCACATAACTGCAAAACACAATTATATTGAACATTTAACTGAACTAATTTTCAGTTTAACACTTTTTTCTATTTATCACACATTCTTCCGATCGACAGAGAAAATAAAAATTGAACACTAAACTTTGTTTCTACATTTGACAACCTACGTGTAGGTTGTCTGCTACTGCTTGCTTGTCACTACAATCCAAAATCCAATCACAATCCAATCCGGTTTAGCTTCGCGGCTTCGCGTCAGATCAGATGGTATTGGTATGGTGGCTCTGCAGTGCTGGTTGGTAGATTGCTGCCATTGCTGGCCGCTTTTGAGTTGAGGGCTGACGATGACGTTGGCGTGTCTGATAGAGTAAAAGAGAAAAATATTTCTCCTAAGAAAAAACCTCTCATTGGAAGTTTGGAAGTACTATAAATGGTACTATATCTGACTGATACTTTATGTTTTACACCATGTATATAAAAGCTTTGACTATTAATACAACAATGGTAGTCTTCTGTATCCAATAGTCAATGATAAAAGATACCAAGATCCATAGTTTTTAACCCATGATTACTTCACTTGATAATCATATTAAAGAGATGTATATTTATCTATTTGATTCATTTGGATTTTATTCAATCCAACTGACAAACCTTTCGAAAGATAAAACCAAATACAAAAGGTGGCTAGACCAACAGTTCCAGTAGATACCACGTACTTAACTTGTTACTTTCAGCACATTAGCATGAACACAACTGACAACTGTATGAAAATAATAAGAAAAGATTCATTTAGTAATTTACGTAGGAAGGTATGGGGGTTTAGGGAGCAGGAGAATCTTTCGCGCCATTCTGGTCAAACCTCGCATGCGGGGTTGGTCCGGCAGATTAACCACACCTAAACTCCAACTCTCACTTGTTAGCTGCAGAGAGCTACCTTATGCCAACGGATAGTGGTCCACCTACAGAACCAAGTGAGGTGGGCCTAGACAAAGGTGTAATGCGATCCGTGCTGAGAGTCTCGTGGCACTGGGGGCCTAATATTCAGTGTCTTAACGGAGCCTTCTTTGAACCAGGGGGAACCCAGTCGTATTACCCTTACCTCTCTAATCGGGTCACTGTGGTGGTGGACCACCCGGTATTCGTGGAAACAACGTAGGTGATCTGACCCCAATGGAGGATGAAAGTTAACTGAAATCTGAAGATTACGACAAGCTCACGGACACCGGAAAGGAACGAAAAAATGACTTTCCAGGGGTGAATTTCGAAGACGGAGGATAGCGGATGTTTTAGCTAAAGGCGAAAAGGTGCTATCCTGAAATGAGAGGAGGCTAGCGTGGTCTGCCAAGCACCCAAACCCTGCTCCGTTCGAGGCCAGTTCCTCCGGGAACCAGGATGCTGGGAAAAAGCAGGGCGAGGGTTGCTCCCCCAAAGCAGACTCTAATAAGGCCTCCAGAAAGGTGGAAAGAGGGGGCGAGAGAACCTGACATATGAAGATGTCTGGGGCGAGAAAAAGAACACGAGGACGAGAGAGTTAGAGGGTGTTTCACAGAGAACACCGGCCCCCACCTATTTGGAGACCCTGTCTGTGGAGATATCAGCATTTGTTCCAACCTCAACGGTGGCAATGACCAAGAAGGGCTTGATCGAGGGCCTCAAGCAGAATGGCCTTGACACTGACCAATGGGTCGGGAGAAACTCAAACCCTGACACACATTTCCTGGCCATGATAATAGCAACATACAGTCAAAGAGAATGCTGCAGACACCTACCGGTGTGATAGCAGCAAATGCCTTTGGGCTGAATATGAAGACCCTGCGGGAGGTGGTTGGCTTCATCAGCGGCCACTGGGTATTCCGCGGACATTGTGCACAAGATGGGAATTTAAGTTAAAAGCTTCTTATGTGTAGGAAATGTGGTGAGGAGGATGAGACAGCCTTCCACGTGATATTTTTGCTTCCGCCCTACAAGGTCTGCATGTTGGATCCCTTGGCCTATTGACGGAAGATCAACGGGATGAACAGGTTACCATAGTCAAAAGGTTCTCATGGTTCATTAAGGACCTGGGATCTGACGGAGAATGAGGACCTGTTAATGAGGGTGCACATTAAGCTGTTCCAGCTGCGATGCAATCCCATGGTCACTTGTAAGCCTGGCCCTCTGATAAAAAACTAACCTTTTTGATTATTAAAAGAGAACGATTTTCAACATCTCTCAATCCGGTTACATTTGAGCGCACTCTTGTTTTTCTTCTTTCGGCGGACAAATTTTTAATTTGTGCGCTTTACTCTTTTGTTACAACATCTGAAGACAAATATTTGCTCAAAAATATTACTGTAATAAAATACATTTTTTGTTGAGAAGTCTACTAACCATATTCAACGGTCACATGAACATGGTGAAAACATGAACATTAATATAAACATGAACATTAATGTGTTGAAACAAACCCGTTTGTCGGAAGATTTTAAAAACTTGTTAAAATCACTGAATCTTTAATGTACTGTCTGGGTGCCGACTCGTGAGAACTCTTGTCTGGACAATGTTGCCACAGACCTTCCTCGTGAAGATTTTAAAGTAGGGGTGGTGAAACATGCCATAGGTGACCATGATGGCATTCAGTTTTATCCCTCTGTCCAAGAATAAAGATCCCTATATTGCTAGGACTTATCGACCGATTACTCTTGATAAAACATATCACTCTATAGTTACTCTCAGTTGATTGGAATATTCTACTTGCGGGTAATGCTAATGTTAATTTTAGTAATTTTTTAAGAACATTTATTTTGCTCTTTCAAGAATCTTTTCCTAAAAAAGTGTCTAAACCGAAGAATACAAAGCTCGGAATTTCAATATGTAAACATATATCATGTTATACACCATTTTAAAGGAATTTGATAGAAAAACATTTTGGCGAAAACAGAAATTCATTATCTTTTTCCGTTTCAAAATTGCGGCAGTCTTTTTTTGAAAAAATCAATATTTTTGAATACTCTGTGTTTCCTATACCAATGCACTTGGCCCTTCTCCGGTTGAATTTTTTATTTGTTATGGAATTAGCTTTACTCTGATATGCTACAAGTAAAAGTTTTTTGAAACGACAAAAATTTCAAAAAGAACTTATTTTTTAAATTATAAATGCACATTGTTCAATATTTTTTTAGAATTTTTGTCGTTTCAAAAATTGTTTACTTGTAGGAAATCAGAGTAAAGCTAATATATCATAACAAGTAGGAAAATTCAACCAAAGAAGGGCTAAGTCAAGGCCGCACTAGTGCGGCCTTAGTGCGGCCTTGGCTAAGTGCATTGGCATAGGAAACACAGAGTATTAAAAAATATTGATTTTTTTAAAAAAACTGCTGCCATTTTAAAATGGAAAAAGATAATTAATTTCTGTTTTCACCAAAATGTTTTTCTATTAAATACCGTTAAAATGGTGTATAATATAACGTTTACATTTGAAAATTCCTAGATTCAAACTGTGACCCTCAGTTTTTGGCACACTCTGTATCGGAAAAGGTTAAAAATATACGTTATTCCTTGGGATCGATTTAGTGGAAAATAATTTTTACCATGTCACGCATACTCTGTACAAAAATAAAAAATTAGTTTTAACGGCCGATAAAGTGACAATATTTTCGGATCAATTCACATTATCTTATCTTGGCAGAGTGATTCAATATAGTACCTTATCTTTGGGAGCTTAATCTAGAGGGCATGCTAGTTACTTCCATATATGGTCACGTTTGTTCTCATTGGTGGAAATTCCTTGTTGGGTGTGTAAGCTCGTGATTAAAGGCGGAGAAATTTCTTGGTTATTCATCCTTTACAGTGCCGGCATCAGGTAATTGGTGACTTCAATTTTCCTAATTCTTTTGCTTATTTTTAAAGCAATTTTCCTATTATTACGTAGATTTTGTTGAGTTCATTTGATTATCTAAGTTTTGCCAAATATTTTGTCCGTAGATGGGTATTATATGGCCAATACAACTTGTAACTTACTAACAATTTGGTTTTTATGGCTGGGCGTGTGTCTCCATTTTTAGCTAGTTACTCATTCCAACTTGTTATGATTTTAATGCTTTCCTAAAGCGACATTAGACAGGAATGGAATGAATTCGTAATGATTTTGTGTAAATTATTTTATTTTGACTTGGGTAACTTATTTATTATTGGTAACTTAAGTTAGCCTATTTTACTAGGCCTTATAACTACAGGCCCTCCAATTAATCATCAACATGTGCTGCAGGCCTATTCTAGCCTTATTTCTTTTGTCTACTTATTCTAACTTATTTTGTGAATTGTTGAGAGGATTTTGGTACAATCTAGGTTGTGCAGTTGTTTATGGCAAAATCAAACATTTTTAAGTAGACTTGTGTGAACCTGGCAATAACTCCAGCCATAAGTAGTTCGCGCGCCCTCAAAAATCTATTGCTGGCCGATTTGCGGCAAAATACGGCCGCGTAACATAATACCGATGATGTCACCAGATAGAGGACACTTTAACGGACACGACAGTATCAATATCATGTACCTGGGGGATAAGGAGGGGGGGGTAAAGTCAGCAATAAGTAGAGCGCGCGCCCGAAAAATCTATTGCTCGCCGATTTGCGGCAAAATACGGCCGCGTAACATAATACCGATGATGTCACCAGATAGAGGACACTTTAACGGACACGACAGTATCAATATCATGTACCTGGGGGATAAGGAAGGGGAGGCAAAGTCAGCAATAAGTAGAGCGCGTGCCCGAAAAATCTATTGCTCGCCGATTTGCGGCAAAATACGGCCGCGTAACATAATACCGATGATGTCACCAGATAGAGGACACTTTAACGGACACGACAGTATATATATCATGTACCTGGGGGATAAGGAAGGGGAGGTAAAGTCAGCAATAAGTAGAGCGCGCGCCCGAAAAATCTATTGCTCGCCGATTTGCGGCAAAATACGGCCGCGTAACATAATACCGATGATGTCACCAGATAGAGGACACTTTAACGGACACGACAGTATATATATCATGTACCTGGGGGATAAGGAAGGGGAGGTAAAGTCAGCAATAAGTAGAGCGCGCGCCCGAAAAATCTATTGCTCGCCGATTTGCGGCAAAATACGGCCGCGTAACATAATACCGATGATGTCACCAGATAGAGGACACTTTAACGGACACGACAGTATCAATATCATGTACCTGGGGGATAAGGAAGAGGAGGTAAAGTCAGCAATAAGTAGAGCGCGCGCCCGAAAAATCGATTGCTCGCCGATTTGCGGCAAAATACGGCCGCGTAACATAATACCGATGATGTCACCAGATAGAGGACACTTTAACGGACACGACAATATCAATATCATGTACCTGGGGGATAAGGAAGGGGGGTAAAGTCAGCAATAAGTAGAGCGCGCAACCGAAAAATCTATTGCTCGCCGATTTCCGGCAAAATACGGCCGCGTAACATAATACCGATGATGTCACCAGATAGAGGACACTTTAACGGACACTACAGTATCAATATCATGTACCTGGGGGATAAGGAAGGGGGGGTAAAGTCAGCAATAAGTAGAGCGCGCGCCCGAAAAATCTATTGCTCGCCGATTTGCGGCAAAAGACGGCCGCGTAACATAATACCGATGATGTCACCAGATAGAGGACACTTTAACGGACACGACAGTATCGATATCATGTACCTGGTGGATAAGGAAGGGGGTTAAGTCAGCAATAAGTAGAGCGCGCGCCCGAAAAATCTATTGCTGGCCGATTTGCGGCAAAATACGGCCGCGTAACATAATACCGATGATGTCACCAGATAGAGGACACTTTAACGGACACAACAGTATCAATATCATGTACCTGGGGGATAAGGAAGGGGGGTAAAGTCAGCAATAAGTAGAGCGCGCAACCGAAAAATCTATTGCTCGCCGATTTCCGGCAAAATACGGCCGCGTAACATAATACCGATGATGTCACCAGATAGAGGACACTTTAACGGACACTACAGTATCAATATCATGTACCTGGGGGATAAGGAAGGGGGGGTAAAGTCAGCAATAAGTAGAGCGCGCGCCCGAAAAATCTATTGCTCGCCGATTTGCGGCAAAAGACGGCCGCGTAACATAATACCGATTATGTCACTAGATAGAGGACACTTAAACGGACACGACAGTATCAATATCATGTACCTGGCGGATAAGAAAGAGGGGATAAAGTCAGCAATAAGTAGCGCGCGCGTTCTTATCCGCCAGGTACATGATATTGATACTGTCGTGTCCGTTAAAGTGTCCTCTATCTGGTGATATCATCGGTATTATGATACCCGGCCGTATTTGCTGCAAATCGGCCGGCAATATATTTTTGAGGGCGCGCGCACTACTTATTGCTGACTTTACCCCCCCCTTTCTTATCCCTCAGGTACATGATATTGATACTGAAGTGTCCGTTAAAGTGTCCTCTATCTGGTGACATCATTGGCATTATGTTACGCGGCCGTATTTATCCGCAAATCGGCGAGCAATAGATTTTTCGGGCGCGCGCTCTACTTATTGCTGATTTTACCTCCCCTTCCTTATCCCCCAGGTACATGATATATATACTGTCGTGTCCGTTAAAGTGTCCTCTATCTGGTGACATCATCGGTATTATGTTACGCGGCCGTATTTTGCCGCAAATCGGCCAGCAATAGATTTTTCGGGCGCGCGCTCTACTTATTGCTGACTTTACCTCCCCTTCCTTATCCCCCAGGTACATGATATTGATACTGTCGTGTCCGTTAAAGTGTCCTCTATATGGTGACATCATCGGTATTATGTTACGCGGCCGTATTTATCCGTAAATCGGCCAGCAATAGATTTTTTGGGCGCGCGCTCTACTTATTGCTGACTTTACCCCCCCTTCCTTATCCCTTAGGTACATGATATTGATACTGTCGTGTCCGTTAAAGTGTCCTCTATCTGGTGACATCATCGGTATTATGTTACGCGGCCGTATTTTGCCGCAAATCGGCGAGCAATAGATTTTTCGGGCGCGCGCTCTACTTATTGCTGACTTTACCTCCCCTTCCTTATCCCCCAGGTACATGATATTGATACTGTCGTGTCCGTTAAAGTGTCCTCTATCTGGTGACATCATCGGTATTATGTTACGCGGCCGTATTTTGCCGCAAATCGGCGAGCAATAGATTTTTCGGGCGCGCGCTCTACTTATTGCTGACTTTACCTCCTCTTCCTTATCCCCCAGGTACATGATATTGATACTGTCGTGTCCGTTAAAGTGTCCTCTATCTGGTGACATCATCGGTATTATGTTACGCGGCCGTATTTATCCGCAAATCGGCGAGCAATAGATTTTTCGGGCGCGCGCTCTACTTATTGCTGACTTTACCTCCCCTTCCTTATCCCCTAGGTACATGATATATATACTGTCGTGTCCGTTAAAGTGTCCTCTATCTGGTGACATCATCGGTATTATGTTACGCGGCCGTATTTTGCCGCAAATCGGCGAGCAATAGATTTTTCGGGCGCGCGCTCTACTTATTGCTGACTTTACCTCCTCTTCCTTATCCCCCAGGTACATGATATATATACTGTCGTGTCCGTTAAAGTGTCCTCTATCTGGTGACATCATCGGTATTATGTTACGCGGCCGTATTTTGCCGCAAATCGGCGAGCAATAGATTTTTCGGGCGCGCGCTCTACTTATTGCTGACTTTACCTCCCCTTCCTTATCCCCCAGGTACATGATATATATACTGTCGTGTCCGTTAAAGTGTCCTCTATCTGGTGACATCATCGGTATTATGTTACGCGGCCGTATTTTGCCGCAAATCGGCGAGCAATAGATTTTTCGGGCGCGCGCTCTACTTATTGCTGACTTTACCTCCCCTTCCTTATCCCCCAGGTACATGATATATATACTGTCGTGTCCGTTAAAGTGTCCTCTATCTGGTGACATCATCGGTATTATGTTACGCGGCCGTATTTTGCCGCAAATCGGCGAGCAATAGATTTTTCGGGGGCGCGCTCTACTTATTGCTGACTTTACCTCCTCTTCCTTATCCCCCAGGTACATGATATTGATACTGTCGTGTCCGTTAAAGTGTCCTCTATCTGGTGACATCATCGGTATTATGTTACGCGGCCGTATTTTGCCGCAAATCGGCGAGCAATAGAATTTTCGGGCGCGCGCTCTACTTATTGCTGACTTTACCTCCTCTTCCTTATCCCCCAGGTACATGATATTGATACTGTCGTGTCCGTTAAAGTGTCCTCTATCTGGTGACATAATCGGTATTATGTTACGCGGCCGTATTTTGCCGCAAATCGGCGAGCAATAGATTTTTCGGGCGCGCGCTCTACTTATTGCTGACTTTACCCCCCCTTCCTTATCCCCCAGGTACATGATATTGATACTGTCGTGTCCGTTAAAGTGTCCTCTATCTGGTGACATCATCGGTATGATGTTACGCGGCCGTATTTTGCCGCAAATCGGCCAGCAATAGATTTTTGAGGGCGCGCGAACTACTTATGGCTGGAGTTATTGCCAGGTTCACACCAATTTTAAGTAGGTAGACTTGGAGCACAATGGAATTTTTTTTTAAACACAAAAGGTACCCTCCTATAAAGGGTTACGGGTTTTAGTTCTTCCTTTTAATTGTTTTTTTGTTACTGTTGACACGTCTTACTCTTATTTCCAATACGTTATGTACCTAGGCCTATTTCTAAGGACGATTATCATTGTCCTGTCACATAACTTGGATAACTTGAGCAAGTTAAATTAGAAGCACTTGTAAAAAGCTAAACTTGTGTGAACCTGGCAATAACTAGTGCACGCGCCCGCTAAAATCTATT